TCTTTTTAACAGTTCTTCCAATCCATAACTTTTAATTGGATAATTTAATTCATTCACATGTAATATATTACTTATAAGTAGGAACTTCTACAATTTGTCATTCTTTTTTAGTTCTTCATTTTTAAAATATATATATTTTTTATTGTTGGATTTTTATTTTATTTATTGATATGTGGTGCTAAGAATCGAACCCAGTGCCTCACACATGCTAGGCAAGTGCTCTACCACTGAGTCATGACCCCAGCCCTAGTTCTTCATTGTCTATGTTACTGCCTTCTTTTGTGTTAGATATTTTCTACTTTACCAATATGTCTGTCATTTCTTCACTACGTGTTTTTAGACATTTTTCTTAGTAGTTAAGACATTTCTTCTAAAACCAAAGTTATAATTACCATATGACCCAGGAACTGCATTCTTGGGCATTTTCCCCAGAATAATTAATGCTTATATTTACACAAAATCCTATGAATGAATTTTCAACTGCTTTAATTGTATAAAGCCAAAAACTGTACACAACACTGGTATCTGATCAATAACTGAATGATTAAACACACCGTGGTACATCATGTAGTATTCCTAATTTAAAATAAAAAATAAAAATCCTCTTGTTGGACATATCATCTTGATTGAATCTTCAGAGGATTATTTTTGCTTAGTGGGAAAAAACTAAAGCCATTCCCAAAAATTTATATAATGAAGGTTATTTCTATGGCATTTAAATGATCAAATGTTAGAAAATTTGTAGGGCAGGTTAGAGGCCCCAGGAGTCTGGAGAGGCTTAATGGGAAGGAGGTTGGTGTAGTCATAAAAGGACAACATGTAGGATCCTTGTGGAAATGGAAGTATTCACAGTCTTGACTATGATGTTTGATAAAATAGCCTAAAAAAGTGATAAAATTTTCGGAACTTAAGACATACACATGAATAAGTACAAGTAAAACTGGAAAATCTGAAAGTTTGGTGGATTTGATCAGTCTCCATACCCTAGTTGTGATATTGTACTTTAGTTTTGCAAAACATTACTATTGAGAAAATTATTCATGGGATATCTCTGTATAACTTCTGACAATTAGATGCAAATCTACAATTAAGTCAATAAGAATTTAAATAATATATTAAACATACAATTACCATGTGATCAGTAATTGCATTCTTGGACCCTAGAAAAATCAAAATCTTTGTTCACACACAAGCCTGTATACTAACATCCAATGCAAATATTATTTGTAATAGTAAAAAACTAGAATTAATTCAGATATCATTCAATGTGTGAATAGATAAACTATGATACATCCACATCTTATAATATAACTGAGCAATATAAGGTAATTATTGATATATGTGGTAACTTAGATTAATCTCAAGGGAATTATGCTGAGTGAAAAAAAATGAGTCCAAAAAGGTTATGTACCATATGATTCCATTCATAATATTCTCAAAATGATCAAATTATTGAGATGGAAAATAGCTTAATGGTTGCCAGAGGTTAAGGACAAGATTTTGTTGGGAAAGCAGTGAATGTGATTGTAAAATAGTAACATGAGGGATCTTTGTGGTAATGGAATTATTTCTGCATCTTGACTATGGAAGCATATACATTAACTTTTATGCATAATGAAATTGAATTAAAAATACACATATACACATGAGTACAAATAAAATGTTATAAATGTGAATCAGATGGGCAAATAGTATCTACATTAATACTTTGATTATGATGTTACACTATAGTTTTTCAAGATTTCCCAATTTGAGAAAGTATATAAATGGCACACAAACTTCTCTGTATTATTTTTAACTGCATTTGGCTCTATAATTATCCCAGAATAAAATTTCAAACCACAAATCTTCAAAAGATTAGGCTGATCCACATGTAACTTATTTGCCTACCAAAAAAAAGATCAATCCTCTTAGAGATGACAAACTCTAGCACAAAACAATATCTGATTCAAAAAAACACATCTTTTTTTAGTTGATTATCATTTTAATTTTGTGAAAGACTCACAAATTTTACATAGTTTCCCATTAGAACAAATAATATTTTAAATAGGGTAAGCCCAGAAATGGTTCCCCAGAAGTAAAGGTAACTGTCTGAGTGCACTTCAGTCCAGACAAGAATTCCCACTATGGCTGTATCACATTAACTAGTACTGTAGGATAAAATTGTGCTTGAATGGAAAAATATACCCTGTTCATGGATAGGCAGAACCAACATCATCAAAATGGCGATATTACCAAAAGTTCTCTATAGGTTTAATGCAATGCCAATCAAAATCCCAAGGGCATTTCTTGTAGAAATAGAGAAAGCAATCATGAAATTCATATGGAAAAATAAACGACCCAGAATAGCAAAAACAACTCTAAGCAGGAAGTGTGAATCAGGCGGTATAGCGATACCAGACTTCAAACTATACTACAGAGCAATAGTAACAAAAACAGCATGGTACTGGTACCAAAACAGGCGGGTGGACCAATGGTACAGAATAGAGGACACAGAAACCAATCCACAAAACTACAACTACCTTATATTTGATAAAGGGACTAAAAGCATGCAATGGAGGAAGGATAGCATCTTCAACAAATGGTGCTGGGAAAACTGGAAATCCATATGCAACAAAATGAAACTGAATCCCTTTCTCTCGCCATGCACAAAAGTTAATTCAAAATGGATCAAGGAGCTTGATATCAAATCAGAGACACGCCGTCTGATAGAAGAAAAAGTTGGCTACGATCTACATACGGTGGGGTCGGGCTCCAAATTCCTCAATAGGACACCCATAGCACAAAAGTTAATAACTAGAATCAACAAATGGGACTTACTCAAACTAAAAAGTTTTTTCTCAGCAAAAGAAACAATAAGAGAGGTAAATAGAGAGCCTACATCCTGGGAACAAATCTTTACTCCTCACACTTCAGATAGAGCCCTAATATCCAGAGTATACAAAGAACTCCAAAAATTAGACAATAAGAGAACAAACAACCCAATCAACAAATGGGCCAAGGACCTGAACAGACACTTCTCAGAGGAGGACATACAATCAATCAACAAGTACATGAAAAAATGCTCACCATCTCTAGCAGTCAGAGAAATGCAAATCAAAACCACCCTAAGATACCATCTCACTCCAGTTAGATTGGCAGCCATTATGAAGTCAAACAACAACAAGTGCTGGCGAGGATGTGGGGAAAAGGGTACACTTGTACATTGCTGGTGGGACTGCAAATTGGTGCAGCCAATTTGGAAAGCAGTATGGAGATTTCTTGGAAAGCTGGGAATGGAACCACCATTTGACCCAGCTATTCCCCTTCTCGGTCTATTCCCTAAAGACCTAAAAAGAGCATGCTACAGGGACACTGCTACATCGATGTTCATAGCAGCACAATTCACAATAGCAAGACTGTGGAACCAACCTAGATGCCCTTCAATAGACGAATGGATAAAAAAAATGTGGGATTTATACACAATGGAGTATTACTCTGCATTAAAAAATGACAAAATCATAGAATTTACAGGGAAATGGATGGCATTAGAGCAGATTATGCTAAGTGAAGCTAGCCAATCCCTAAAAAACAAATGCCAAATGTCTTCTTTGATATAAGGAGAGTAACTAAGAACAGAGTAGGGTCGAAGAGCATGAGAAGAAGATTAACATTAAACAGGGATGAGAGGTGGGAGGGAAAGGGAGAGAGAAGGGAAATTGCATGGAAATGGAAGGAGACCCTCAGAGTTATACAAAAGTACATACAAGAGGAAGTGAGGGGAAAGGGAATAATAATACAAGGGGGACAAATGAATGTCAGTAGAGGGGGCAGAGAGAGAAGAGGGGAGGGGAGGGCAGGGGAGGGGGGATAGTAGAGGATAGGAAAGGCAGCAGAACACAACAGACACTAGTATGGCAATATGTAAATCAATGGATGTGTAACTGATGTGATTCTGCAATCTGTATATGGGGTAAAAATGGGAGTTCATAACCCACTTGAATCAAAGTGTGAAATATGATATATCAAGAACTATGTAATGTTTTGAACAACCAACAATAAAAAATTTAAAAAAAAACCAAAAAAAAAAAACTTACATTTTCATCTAGAAAAAAAAAATTGAGCTTGAAGTTCAGCTATCTCAATATCAGATTCTTTTAAGGGTTCAATGCTAGCTACATGCTGTATCCTGTCCCTAAATGAAGAGTTTGTACTATATTGGTATGGGATAACATCTGCACCCATGTTAGGGTGAGTTGAGGACCCACTCATGTCAGCTATTGATAGAAGCTGGAATCTATTCATATCAGCTAGAGGATGATTCTGAGAATTTACAGAATCAACTACAGATAGATCCTGGGCCTTCACTGTATGATATTCAGAAGGGGAACTCCAGGGATCAATTGTACCAGTTGGTGGAGGAATCCATGTGCTTTCAATAAGGTATCGATCTATAGGTTCACCTTTATTGATTATTAGAGAATCCTGGGACTCAGCTTTTGCCTTAGTGTTTTCACCTGAAGTAATGGAGCCCCAGGGTCCCTCTTTATCATATGAATGAAAAGTCCGTGATGTGCTAGACAGAGTAGTAGTTGTGGGTTGATCCCAAATTTCATCCGTATAGGGCCTAAAGGATTCCAAGTGTCCATCTGCATTAGCAGTGGCTTTTGTCCAAGATCCATTTGTAGAATCAGTAGATTGAACCCAGGATCTAGTGTCATGGGAGTTCCAAGGTTCAACTGCACCATCTACAGATGGACTCCATTGTTTGACTATGCCAGCCACAACCTGATTCCAGGATTCATCTGTATCAGTTAATGGAAAATCCCAAGATTTAGGTGGATTAAACGACATAGTTGTATCAGAAATAAGTTGAGGTAAAAAAGGTTTAGGTGTAGAAACTACTGAGGAATCCCATGAATCACCTGTATCAAGTATAGGGGTATCCTGGTGATTCTGAGCTGAGTTATTTCTAGGATTTTCTTGTAGTCTGTCATCAGAGGAAGTGCCCAATTGCTCTACTAGAAAATTGTCATCTTGGGGGATCTGGCTTTTTTCAGGGGGAAACTTATGACTAGTAGTGAAGGACTCCGCTCCATTAAAATTATAGATTGCTGGAGAAATTTTTAGATGTTTAGTTTCTGGAGAAACGCTTACAATTTCCTCCAAAGACTGTGCAGAGGGCTGATATGAGGTAAGGGCTGGGCATAGTTATAGCCCTGCCTGATTTGGGAAATCTGCACATTCTCAAAAAATGTTTTGCAATGTAAGAAGGATGTAGGACTCAAGAACTTCTTGGATGCCTTAATTAACTGCTTGATCCAGGAAAGGTAAGGAGCTGTCCTAATGATGACTGTAGGATGTCGACATATTCTTGAGGTTTTACGTACCAGGCCCACCAGTTCCCAGTGGTTATTTAGGAGACATAGAACAGGACTGGCTTGCTGTACCTGAAAAAATAAATAAATCAAGAAATTGTGTGTGTATACACACACACACACACACACACACACTAATGTATTGCATCCTTCCACTCAAAATCTTTCAATGCCTTCCAACCTCAACAAGACTATTCTTATAATGATGTACAGAGCCCTCATATCTAACCTCTAGTTACCTCCTTGACCTCACCTACTGCTATTGCCTTGTCCAATATGCAACAGCCACCTGGCTTCCTTCCTGTTACTTAAATATACCAAAATACATACCTCAAAAACTTTGAATGACTTTTCCTGTACTTTTAACACTATTCTCCTGATATCCACATGACTGGACTCACTACTTCCTCTACAACTCTATTCAAATGTTACTTCTTTAAAAATGACTCTCCTGATCACCTAATCCTATTGAATGGATTTAAAGCCATATAGAACCCCTATCTGATATTACAAGTACTTTAGACTAAGATTGAGTGTGGAGTCTGGTTTTTTCAACTTCAGGTTGCACACAGAATTCAAGGTCATAGTAAACCCTGCCCTGTGCTTGTAATATGGATGTATTCTGTTCAAAGTCATTATCAACACTTTCATTAATATTATATGCTTATTTTTGGTCATTCTATAAAAAACACACAAACTCCATGGGAATATGAACTGCTCTGTCCTCATTGACATTACACTAGTTCAGATTAGATCATATGTCAGCATGGAGACTATATAATGGCTCACTATACTAAATTATGGCACCAGATTCCTTCAGTGGGTCTTCTCTTTTAGGCCATTTTTCATATTAGCCATCAGAGTGATCCATAAAATGTGAAGTTTGCCATGTCAATTCTTTTCTCAAAATCTTTTCAGGATTTCTCATTCCCTAAATAATAAATCCTGTATATATTAATAAGATGAATAAAACTTTTAACATCTCCCTTATCCCACACTCAAATTAGTACTTCTTCCATACTCCAATGTATTTTTAGGCCTCAGACCTGTCTTATTCTGCTCCCTTTAACCTAAATGCCATCACCTAATTTATACTCTTTATCTCATTCATTAAATGGCTACTCATCTTTTAGTACTAGTTCAAATATTAATTTCAACACCTTATAAATTAACTCAGTCTTCCTTTTACCCTCCATGCCAACAGCAATTATCCATCATGTAATTATCCATCCTTTGCAATTATCTACCACAAGCCCTAGATACTACATCTTTAACTTGCATTTGCAGTTTCCTCTACCTCTATTTGAAATATTGTACCGTCTTTGCTTGATTAATTGAGTCCTTCTCATCTCTTAAGACTTAGCTCTCAAGGCTTATCACATCTTCCAATAATTCAGTCCACAACCTCCACAGTTCTAGTTAAGGCTTCCTTTGAAGTCTTTAAATATGATTTGTGTTCATGCTTTCTAGTTATCTAATACATAACAGTTTTCCTGTACAAGTATTTATTTTCTATAATCTTGTAGTATGTTGATGGTAAACTGTGTTGTATTTGTATATTGAACCTTCCCACACCTAAGTTCAAGCCATACTCTATTCATTATAATGACTACAAAGAGGCTATAATAAAATTGGAAGTAGGAAGCTCCAATTTCTTTTCATGCCCATTGATTCTTTTTCTGTAGGTCTCGTTTGGTTTCAAAGGCCTTCTCTGTTGATATAATCTATACCTCTCAAATACCCAGTGAAAATCCCAAATTCATTATTCGCCTGGAAACAAAAGAACAAACCCATATGGCCTATTATATAGATTACTTGCACACATATGGAATTCTACATTTTCACATTGCCCTCCCATTCTTGATATTGCCCAGATGCATAATTACCCAGCAGTCTTGATCTGGCTGGCTCAGAATACACAAGAAATCAGACTTCTCATGGTGGGAATATTGAGGGTGGCATACTGAGAGCTCCAGCAGCTGCACTAATATCTTTTTCACTCCTGTGACTCCAAACTCCGGGTCACCTGAGGGGAGGGATGATGAGTGACACAGAGGCCCAGACCACCCAATATCTGGGCTTGATTTGACATCACTCTCTTGATTCAATCATGTGGACTTCCCAAGACATTCTCCCCTTTTTTTCCCTTTTCTTCTCCATTCAGATCATATATATTTCCCCTGTGTTTTCTGAAACTAACACATTAATCTTTACCTGGGGATATAAAGAGTTCTATAACACTGATTCAGACCTGGGCATATCCCTTTCCTTTCTTATGTTTCAGTTTATCCTCCTATAAGTTGGGGTGGTATGGACTTAAGGATTTCCAATATTTCCTCCACATTTTTTCCCACCTTCACAGAGGCTTAATTTCTTTGAAAAACTAATTATTGAAACTAAACTCACAAGGCAGTGTAGCTTGGTTCATTTTACTTACTATGATGTTGGTACACTTGGCAGCTTCTATAATGGCATTTAGAACAGCTCTTCAAGGATACATTGGGCACATGAGATAGTGGCACATCATCCCCATAGATTGGCTTTGAAAGAAGGACCATGCCAATATCTGCTTTCATCGTGTCTTCTTCATCTTGGGGATCAAACCTGGGATGGATGCAAATTCTTTGGCCATGTAGGGGGCTCTTCTGGTCATCTTCTTCTAAGATGTTTAGGTTTGAGAGTTTCCTAAGGAAATATAATGATGCAATTAACAATACAATTGTTAACAATACAACAGACAATAATAAAAGTAGAAATTTTGCATTATATGTCCTTATGTATTAACAGTATATGTCAAAATCAAAGTTATAAAATGACTAAGTTCTTACACTTATTTGGCAACATAAGATTATCTTAATTCCAGAAACTATTATTAAATAGTCTGTGATACATACCATACATGCCTGTGCAAGACTTTGTACTGGAATTTGGCTCTTCAACATATCCGCTGATCCCCCACCAACTAATTGATCCTCAGAAAGTTTCTTTGCATGCTGGGATTTTAGTGACCTCCTCTATAAAAGGACTATTTTTCAAACTCCATTTGAGCTTTAACATTCTCCCAGTTGAAAAATAATTCCCTCACCTATGTCACTGGATTTTGTTATTGCTTAGGTTTGTTTTTGTTTGTTTTGGGTGGTGCTGGGGATTGAACCCATGGGCAAATTTTGGTTTAAATCTCAGTGTTGGGCAGTGTTTGCCACTACAAACACAGAAAGCTTGTACTTTTGCTTATTTGTGATAAAATATAATCTCTTCAGATGACAGAAAAGAACTCTGTTTGACTTTGATATACTATATCCTCCACTAGGACTAAAAAGTCTTCAAAGATAAAGATTCTATCTTTAATCCATGACTCCCGGAAACTTAGTTTTGAGGCTGTCAAAGGTGGACACTCAATATGTTTTTCAAGATAATGAAGGAGAGAGTAGGAAAGGATAAGAAAAATGTGGGAAAAAGGAAACAAAGTCAACTAAGGAATAGTAACAAAGCCATTACCTGATTTCAGTAGCAGAAAGGGGTCCATATCAACATTTCCCTCATTTCATTTCTCTGGAAGGATCAACCAGAAGGAATCCTAAAAGGAAAACTCACCCAAGCCCCCCAAACACTGGTTCTTCCCCTACTCACGTTTTATGCAGGCAGTTAGCTGTAGAGAGGATCCACCATGGACTTAGGATAATGCCCTGGCAACTTCCAGACAAAGGCACCAGCCATGGTATATCAGGGGAGATAGCCAATGATGGTATTCTTGTGATCAATGAATTTGAGATTAACCCCTTTCTCTCAATTTGGGGCACTGCAAAGAGTATGATATGAATAAGGAGGTGTTAAAATAACATGAAAACCCATCTCTTCTTTCAATGTTGATGAAATTTCTTATTTTTGAGTTCACCTATTCAATTTGAACTATAAAGTTTCTGATACTCTCTCAACATGACCTACCTTCCATCATGACTGATTATGTGTCAGTGGATATGAATGTGGTATTTATACCATGATCACAACTTAATGCTACTGTTCCTCCTGTCTTCCCTGAACATTTATTGAAGGAAACCTAGAATTAGCTTAAGGGATAGTACCAAAAGATGTTTCCATCTAATGTAGGGAGATAAAAAGAGAGGAAGAGGTATAGGCAGGGACAGAGTCAAGGAAGAAAGTAAAGGTAGTGAAAAGAGGGAAAAGGAAGTGTAAAAACTGAAGGGGGAATAGAATAGGAGGAGGAACTTGGATAATGGGGACAAAATATTTCTGAAATGAATAGTAAGTAAAATATGGAGAAGAGGAATCAGAGGTAGGTCTTTGGAAAGTCAAAGAAAAGAAAAAGAGATAAGGATGCCCAAATATCTATGACTTACTCGCATAGCAGTAAGGAACCAAACACAAAACATGGTAGAGCCAAAGTAGAGGCTTCATGTTGACTCAAGTGGGAAGAAATGTGATGTGGAGCTCCTAGGGCAACAGCAGCTCTAGTAGTCTAGAAGCAGAGTTCATAGGTTTCAGAATGTCTGACATCATAAAATCTATTGTGAGATCACGCCATCCCTGTGGTCATCTTAAAGCGGCTTAAGCTGGGGAATTGGGAGCAGTAATATAGTTTAAATATTATTTTTGAGCTTTAACATTTTCTTTTTTAACCTCACTACAACACTTTATTATATGAATCCCACAGTTAAGAGGGTCCTGGATCAATCTGTTTGTTGTGTGTCCTTTGTTTATAGGCAGAGGAGGACAGGTGTTTGTCCCAATCTGTTGCAAGACACTCTCTTCTCCATTATATGGACTGAGTGTTTACCATGATTTTAGTGTCTTTTGTGTCCCTAACATCATTGTATAACCAAGCACTTTCCATAAATGCGTCTTACTTCTCCATTTCATATTTTTGTAATGGTTTGCATATCACTTACATCAAAGAACTTGACCATATACACTCTGTTTCAATATCTGGTTAGTGTTGAGAACAGAAGGCACTAAAAGAAAACAATTTTCTTAACAATTTACATTGTCTTCACCGGCACTGGGATGAAGATAGGAATTCTGGCAATAATGGCTAAAGAAAAA